CAATACAGTAGAATAAAGTATCATACATTGTTTTAGTCAAATTCTACAAACTTTATCATTTAATATTGTTCGCTCCAATTACAAGATGTTTCATATATTCCAAAATGTGCTTGTCTTCAAAAGTACAACACTTCATCATACATCTCTTAAAAACATCTTCATATCTCAAAATCCTGAAATAACACAAAAATATGGTCATAACCATTCCTGAATTCCCTATAGATCTACATTCAATAAAATTCATTTCCAAATTAGGGAGAGACAATATCCAGTACATGATCATCGGTATATAAAGACAATATCCAGTTATATATTTATGCTAAGAGAGTACCGGCACTTATACAAAAAGAAATTCAAAGACGTCCTGAAACAAATTACATTGACCACCTTGCCACAACAAGCTTGAATATGCACATTGGACTCATCAGACTTGATAATGAGAGATACCATGGGAGCTACCCCTCCTAAGTCCTAAGTCAGTTAATGTAGCGAAAATAGAAGGAAATAGAAAGGAAAAGTTAAAAAAGTTTGCCCTTTAAGAACTGCACAATTATAAGTAGCTAACAGGAGCAATCCATGTCTTTATCTAAGTAGATCATTCTTGCACAATTTTAAGCATAGGAAATTATATCGACAGCAAAATAAGTATATTCTTAACGAGTAAAATTGATCTTCTATCACAAGCATAAAAAGGGTATCGATTGATTGGAAGCTAAGCAAGAAAGAAGAATTTGAAAAGAAAAATTGCTTTGGGTTGCTTTACATGTTTCTTGGATATGCATTTTGCTAGTTGTGTTGAACAAGAGTTCAACTACAGTCTAAAAAGGAAACGAAGCATATAAGATAAAAACAATATCATCTTTGCACCTTTGTCACTGACACTGTTGTCGGCGTGATATTGAAGAATAAAGAAGTTAAAATTTCTCTTCTTTAATTGCGATTTATATTTAGGGTTTTGGTGGTTGTTGTGTTTTTTAAAAGGAAACAAAATGTGTTTCCATTTTTGCCCTTGAAATTATGGACATGTGAGAGAGGCATGTGTTTTTTGAATGGTAAAGTGAGCAAAAACGAGCTTTGAGAGCAATTGGGTAGACTTTTATATATCTTACAGACTATTGTGTCTAATTTTAAATATGAGGGGCTAAAAAGTTTTTTCTATAAATGTGAAGGACCAATTTGGCAAATTTTCCTATTACTTTTAAGCCATTTCGATGACAGTAATTTCTTTTGTAATGTATAATAGTTTTTTTTATGAGGATATAATATTTAAAGTGTCAATGCTTTTAAGTTGCTGTTTGACAAAATTGAAATTTACAAAGGCTTTGACACCGGCTCAAGGTTGTACAACTTGTGCCCTCTCATTCTATCAATTGCAACTTGTGTGCTTTCTTTTCTATCATTCATGTGTGAGCTTAAGTATTTCTAAATTTCTAAATTTTCAGTAAGTGTTAGACAAAATTGTGGATTCATTTTGAACGCATTTTAAACGTGTACAATCCTCAATGAAGTTTGAAGACAATAATTCCTCTCATGATATCGATCAACTCTAAATTACTTTGGGTGCGCATTTGTTTCCATTTAGGAGTCAAAGTTGGATGGGAACAGATACTACACTTGATCTTTGCCAAAAGGCTGATAAAGGTATAAATTGGATGGGAGCGACATACTAGAGAATCAGCATCGGTTTTATGATTTATCAAAGCCAATATGGAGCAGAGTTTCTATCAAGAATTGTATTACGTTTATCTCCATATCATGGCCTTCCCCTTATTATATTTATAGAGTAGAGTTAACAGTGGATTTAGCAAGTGTAAAAAAGGTGGTAAGTTATCTTGATTAGTCATAAATTCTAGTTATACCTTATAATCAACTAGGAAAATTCTATACTGAGCGAGTGACATTACATTACATTACAATTAAGCGACAATAAAAACAAACAAATTAAAGGATAACCCATCTTCTTGATTTTAGGAATTCTTATGTTTGTGTTTATCGTTCAGTAATGTTATCATTTATAGTCACTTTTTGTAGATGAATTCAATCAACAAGTTCCAAAAAAAATGAAAATTTTACAGTCTTAGGAACTAAATGTAGTTATTTATTTAATGACAAAGAGTAGGGACATTTGTCAGAAACATCCGTCCCACACAATGAATGACCTAAAATAAGCCAATAATGTTAAATTCAAATTGTATAGAAGAGATAGCGTCACATAATTTGGGCACAACAAATATGTAAGAACCCACACAAACAACGGTACCCAAATATGGGGGAGAGTTGAATTGAGCGGTAAGATGGAAAATGTTGTAAGCTAGAAGTCTTGAGGAATTCATGAATCAAGGAACTATCCTTTCGGTCATTTGGACATTTGCATAGGGAAGAAGTGAGAAAGGCAAAAGAAGACTACACTGAACAGCCGTACCAGCACATGCAGGTTGCAAGTCCTCTCGCTTAAAAAAAAAAGAAAAACAAAACCTGCACCTCTAAAAGTATTGAAGGAGATTTTGTTTGCTGTGAATTATATAATGTATTGAAGGAGATAACCTACAATGTGCTACATCACAACATCACCCCATTTGGCAAGTGAGTGTTTTGGGTGTTTGTCTAAAATTTTAGTGTAGCTCACTGTAAAAGTTTTTAAAAAATTTTTTGATGTATGTTTTTTTTTTGAATATTTTGAAGTGTATAGTTTTAAAACTTTGAAAAGTTTTTTAAGGTTACTGTAGTTAAAGTTTTTAAAAAACTTGTAGCAGACAAACTTGGCAAAAAACTTGGCTCCGTTTGGATTAGCTATTTTTGGGGGGTGTTTTTGAAATATTTTATTGTAGCAGTGTATATGAAAAATTTCTGCTATAAAATTTTTTTTGAAATATTTGATATACTAATATGGATAGGATATTTTTTGAGTTATTATATATTACTGTAACATTGTATTTGAAAAACTTATTTTTTTGAAAAAAATAACCAATCCAAATGCTTATCTGTCAAACAAGGCCGTAGTATCTCATGGACTTTTTCTTTTTCTGTTATTTCTACAGCATGGTAAACCACATAGTAAAATGACCCATCATTCAAGAACAGGAGCACGGACCACAATGCCCCTCTCCCTAGCCGAGTTTTGGTTTGGTTATTTCAGGTAATTAAAGAATTAAAAGCCACTGGCCATTTGGTCCGGTGGTCATCACTCTATTGAGTGATGCTGGAGGTCAGGGGTTCAACCCCTACCTCCCACAAACTTGCCACCTTACGTGGCCGGTCTTCTGCCCCCACGGAATAACTTGAACGGTCCGCTCCTCCTCCTTAGGGTATGGCGACCTTTCTGATTTATCCAGGATTCGAGTCTCGTTGTTAATGTGCTCGGTGTGGAGTAGGGCCTCCTCTCCCGGGCCGCAGGGGATTAGTCGGGTCCCGTAAGGATTGACCCGTACACCCCTGTGTTGACAAAAAAAAAATGTAATTAAAGAATTAAAAAGACAAACTACTAATTTGGCAGCCTCTAAATTTTGATTCCCCGCCTCCATATTTCTTCTCCGTCCTCCTCTGCAGGTAACTGACCAACGGGTACCTGAATTTAGATACCAATTCTTTTACATCTAATTCTTCTTGCTCTTTTTTTTCTTTTTCTCTTACTGTGGTAGAAATCAAGAGCAATGACCCAAAAAGAAAAAAAAAAAAGCTATCGAATAATTGCGATAGCTGATTTTTCCCTTAAGATACTCGACTCGTTCTCAGTTCATTTAGACTTGTTCGTTCGTTAACAGTTCATTCGAAATTTTATATGAGTCAAGTTCAAACAAATATTTTGGCTCGATAAGTTATCAAACGACAGGAACTCTTTCACGAATTTAAATGATTGTTACGAATATGGGCCTAATTGTCATTTCACAAAATTTATAGTGCATATTGTACTCCAAATTCCTAATTCCAGGCTTAATCATTCGCAGACATGGGCCTAATTGTTTGCGAATGGTTCGTTTATGGTAAACAAGTTGAGCTCGAATTCGAATTTATACTAGAATTTTGCTTAACAAGCCCACTACGAACATATATTTAGAGCTCGGACAGTATCGAATGAACACAACTTGTTTGAGTAGATTAATGAACATGGCTCAATAGGGATGGCAAACGGGTCGGGTTCGGGTTGACGGGTCGGGTTGAGGCCGAAAAATTTCGGGTTAGCAGGTTCTTTGTTATACTTAGGCCTCAACCCGACCCGTCAACCGAAAATTTTCGGGTTGAGACCTGACACGAACCCGAAAATTTCGGGTTGGCGGGTCGACCCGAAATGACCCGAAACTTAATTTTAATTTATTAATTTATCACTGTAATTTCTAATAAAATTAATTTTTTACAAAATTAATTACATCATCAAGTAATAAAAATTTAAATAAATAATTTCAAACCAAATCTAAAATAAATTAAACACCATAAAAGTGTTTTATCCCAAACCAAATATAAAATAAATTAAAACAATATAAAAGTAAAAAATAACATAATATATTATTTGTCCAAATATAATAATTTTAACTTCACACAAGTTAAATAAATTCATTTAGGATTAAGTAATTAATGCCTTTGGAAAAAAGAATGATTTAGTTTAGTTAGATAAAATAATTTTTATGTTTATTAAATTAGTTTTAATTCGTAAACGGGTCACATCAGGTTACCACGGGTTGACCCGAAATTGACTTGTTTTCTTTTCGGGTTCATCGGGTTCGACCTGATTCTGACCCGAACTTCTAAAACCTCAATCCAAACCCATTAATTTCGTGTTAGATTCGTGTCGTGTTTTCGGGTCGTGTCAGGAATTGCCACCCCTATGGCTCAACATATAAAATACTCGTTCGACTCGATTTGTTTACAATTCTAAAAGTAAGGGAGATAAGTGATATTTTTAAACATTTAGAGGAACTAAGTGATATTAAGATAAACCCCGGGGGAGGTTTCTGATATTATTTCAAATTAGAAATACAAACTATTAATTTCACTTGCTCCTCTAAATTCTCATTACTCTCCTCCATATCTCTCTACCCTTCTCTGCAGGTAACTGACCAACGGGTGCCTGAATCCAGATACCAGTTCCTTTACACTAATTCTTCTTGCTTTTTTTTTTTTTCCTTTTCTTTGCCGTGGTAGAAATCAAGAACAATGAGCCACAAATATAAGCTATTCGAATAATTGCGATAGCTGATTTTTTCCTTTTTTTTTTGTTGGGTATGCAGGCATGGAAGAGCAATTTATACTTCGGCTTCCACCTTCGGTAGCTGAACGGATAGACCGGCTCTTGAGCGAAAACGCATCTTCGTCTTCTGATGACAAGTCCTTGGATTTAACCTTTTCCGGTGAGCGACTTTTTTTTTACCATCTCTATTCTTAAATTTGTGTTCATCAATTGAGAGTTTATATAAGAAGCGTCAAGAAAGATTTTGATTAGGAATAAGTGCAATTTAATTATTTGGTTTGACTAGTTTGTATAGAACCTCTACTGAACATTGTTATGCTTCTTCTTTGTTCGGATTAAGGCATGTCAATCATGCTTTTGGAGCTTTTATAGTTTCTGCTCGCTGCTGATGTTGCTTCTGCTGGTGCAGCTGAGCTGCTTGTTCCTTCGTTTTTGTAGTGTTTATACTTTATTTCGATCTATTGTTCCCTGATGTTCACCAATGTCAGTGTTGGCACTGTTTAATTTACTCACACCTGCATGTATATTTCATTTGGTTTTTTTCATGTTTTTGAATCTCACAGCGTGGTTGATTGGTTCGCTGAACAATGATTTGAGTAGTCATTTTAATCTGAAAGATGGTCACTTATTTGCCACTTGTATCTTCAAAAGGGATTGTTTATCTACCTCAAACTTGGTTTAGTCGTCCTTTATACAATGTGTATAATGATTCTTTCCTATTGGCTTCCAGCTTATGGTTGTATAATCCCATTTAGTTGCTTGAGCTTTTGGTGATTTCTTTTTTTTTTCATCAGTGTCCTTGAGCATCCTAGTAGATAAGGTTACAGAAAATCAGAGAATGGCAGATGCAATGTATGTTAGGATATTTTTGGACCTTCTTTTAATTGCTGCTGTTCCTATTGGTCTCAAGTTATAAGTCTTTGGAAAAAATTTGCTAGTTAGGAGATTAAGGAACTTGTTCTGTACATTCATCCGGCCACCAATTGCTTCTGACTCTTGGCTCTGTTCTCTGTTATATCGCTTTCTCTTCAGAAATTGAGGCTCAACTAGGCTTCTTTTTCTTCTATCCCTAGCCTCACTGATTCTCTTGAACGATGCATGATATCTTTTCCGTTTTGCTCTTTCTCTCTCTCTCTCTCTCTCTACACACACAGAGACGTATATGGTCCACACTAAATTATTTAACTAGTAACCTGATCTGGAGCAGTGGTTGTTCTTCTAGGATCTTGTTCTTATATTGAAGTGTGCCCTTGACCATTTTTTCTAAACCTTTTTGGAAAGTGGGAAGCAGGAAAGCGAATACACATGATGTGCAACTTAAACTGCCATAAACAGTCTCAGTTCAACTGAAATAGGATTCATGTCTTTTCAGTGAAGATCTCATCTGTGTTAGAGATGTTAAAATGAGAATCTGGTTACAAATATGCAAATCTTTAACCCACAACCAGTTTTTACGGGACAATATTGGGAGGATGGAATAGTAATGTAATCAGATTACCAATATGAGGTTCATTTGGTAAAGGAGTATGAGCCAAGGAATGGGTATATATTTAAATGATGCATATTGTTGGTGCTTGGAAGGATTTTATCTGAATTGGTATGTTGCTTTCATTTCCTGGACATATGTAAATGGGGCAATTTCGAAATTTATCCCATACTTGATGTCGAAAGACTAATTTTACAAAGAAAATACATGGATAAAATACAAAAGGCAGTCAGAAAAACAGCATTTTCCAATTTCCATCATCCTTGTGGCTGTGAGACAAATCCTTTTCCATCTGTACTCCTCACTTTATGCCCACAGCCCCTGTAATCTGTCTCTCTCCCTCCCCCTCTTCTGCTAGCTCTAGCTCTTTGTTTTTTGCTTGTCATAGCTCTTCACTAGTTGTGACATTGCTGTAGTGACCATTGATATTTTGCTTGAAAAGATGCAACAGTTCAGTAGATTCTCAATTTATGTAACGGAAGAAGCATTTTGATATCTACAAATAAATTTGTTATTTTGGATGTCGGTGGATCTAACATGGGTTGTGATTCAATCTTGGGACTTGGATTATTTTGTTTGTAGTTTTTTGTAGTCTTTTGGAAATTGAATGGATGTAGGAGGTCTAGGGAGCTGAGTGGTGTTTATTTTTTGTGTAGTATGGAGGTTGAAGAGGCGTGGTTCATCCTTGGCATTATTGTTAGTCTCTTTTATATGATTTTCAATGACTTCTCTTTGATTGTTTTTCACAAAAAGGAGTTGAATTGTGTAAAATTGGCCTCTTCAGATAGCTGTGGTGGTTGCTGGTGGTAGTCTCGCACTACTTGTGGGGAGTAGGGGAAGGCAGACTGGTCATTGCTACTGGGAAAGGGGAGAAGGAAGAAAAATGGTAAAAGAATTAAGAAATAGGAGTCATAAAGGAAACTTTTCAGGGGGGGAAAAAGACTTCAAACCAATTCCTAAATTTTCAATCAAATGCTTTGTTGGCTTTGATAACACCAATGCTGATTCTCTAGCATATCACTCCCATCCAATTTTGACTCCCAAATGGAAACAAATCAGCCCCTAAGGTTAATTCAGAGTTGATTGATATCATGAGATGAATCATTGTCTTTCAACTTCACTGAGGGTTATACACGTTTAAAATGCGTTCAAGTGAATCCACAACTTTGTCTAATCATGAACAATGAGGTTGAAACATTATTTATATGTCAGTCCAAGTAATCACACAAATTCAAGATTCTGAATGTAACAGATGAAATTGCATCTGAATGAACACTTTCTGTCGACTGTCCCAGCATGAAAAATTAGAATTGGACCACTTTAGACTTGGTGGACTAAAGTTAACGAATTTCTGTGAAATTTCATGAGTTACTATGGTTGTACATGTTATTGTTTGTTACACTGCCAGCATTTAAAAGTCCTCCTGAATCCGTAGTTGGTTGACATGAATTTTATTTTCTTCATCATTCTACTTCTTGAGGGCTTGATTGATATTTTGTAGAGGATGGGAGAAGTGGCACATTTTCAATAGGAAACGATCACTTCCCTGCATTTCTTTTGGATTTACCTGGCATTGTGGAGTCATACAAAACCTATGATGATAGCGTGCTGATTAAAAGTGCAGATATTGGTCAAGTATGCTGTCAGCTTGCCAATTATTGCTTTGTAACATACATGGCATCTGAAGAGTTCCTAGTTCAATTTTGTAAAATTTGTGATGTCTTGCAGATGATTATGGTGAAGGAGGAAGGTGACAGTGTTCCAGGTGAGGTGGAGTACAGACATGGCCTTACCCCTCCGATGAGGGATGCTCGAAGGCGAAGGTTCCGCAGAGAACCAGATCTAAATGTATGTGGCCTTGTGAACTGTCTCTTCTTCCAGTATCCTCTCTCTCTCTCTCTGTTACACACACAAAAAAATGCGCAAAACTAAGACATAGACACAAACAATGATACATTATGGCTGCAGTGGGTGTAAGAAAGGGACAGAAGTAGATGAGACTATCGCATGAATTTTCCATCAGATGCCATCACCTTACCTTTCAAATTTCTCCAAGAGTAAGCAATAACAGTTGATTAAAGCCTACAATGGGAAAAAACAATTTGTGAGATAGTGCCACGTAATGGCTTTTCCCATGCCCCTAGGTAGTGTTGTTCATAGGCATGAAGTGTCTATTACATATTTTGTAACTGTAGACATGTCTGCATGGGTAGGTATACAAGTTAAACATTGTGTGCTAATATTAAATTGGTATTTATTTGAGTGAGTTATGAGACGTGTGCCATTTTGCAGCCTGAGCTGGTCCGGCGTGCTGAGAAAGATTTGCAGAATATTATGGCTGGTGGAACAGCTGAGAATATTGATATCCTTCCAGTTATTCTGGCTTTCAGAACTTGAAGTAGTCAGCTTTTATGGATTTATTGAGACTTTAGCTACGTATTAAATTTTCTTTAGTTCATACTGGCACAGATGATCGTGTTGTTGTACTTGCATATTAGAATCTTAACTTGTCAAGATGACTTTTCATTCTTCTGGCTGTTGGTCCAATCTCATACTTTGTTTTGTTCGTTTCACTGTTAGATGTAGCAGGGAGGTCATGCGCATCAATTGAAGAAGGAATTCAGAATTCCACCTTCTTTTGATATTTACAGTTGTGACTTGAGATGATTGTGGAATTTTAATGGATACTGTGAAGCTGTGCATTCCTAAGATAGATTTTCTTCATAGTGTATAATTTTATTGTTGTTATTCCTTGACAAACTTACATGTTGAAGCCATTGAGCATGAGGAAGATGGCGAGGAAAATGCTCGTAATGTAAGTAAGAAGGTGGAACCTAAGCCTCCAGAGAAGCCTGACATACCTGAGGCTGGGACAGCTGGTGGAGAGCCAGACAGAAGCGATTCTGATGAGTCTGATTATTCAATATGATGGAGGTCCTTTATTTAAACTTGAGTATCTGGTTCTGCTGGGTGGTTAGACCTACTATTTGCAAATTTAACTTTGTAAGGTCATGGTTCGTCAACAAAACTTTATGTCTAAGGGTTTATAGTTAAAGGAAGTTTAGTAGTTTTATGTGTGTGCCCTGTTTGGATCTTGTTGGTATTGATAGCCTATTTGAGATTCGACATTGCTGTGGTTTTTCAAACATTGGATAGGTTGTATATATCAATACACTAATTAGATCTAATGAGCGGGCAATCTTTGTAGTAATTGATAGTTTGGTTTCTGGGAGTGCACAATATACAGATTAGGGACTCCAAACTTCAGACCCCATAGTGTATATGCATGCACCATTCATAAATTCATTTCAAACTATCTTACCAGAGTTCTAGATGTATTTATTGAAAGGTAATCTACAATCTGAGATTAGTGGAAGAGAAGCGAGTTGATATATATGATTGTGGTTTGAACAAAATACTTCCACCAAAGGTCACAGTACTAAACTTTGTTCAATCTGGAAATGATCTTAACTAGGGATTTGTTATTGGTTTGTCTGCAGGATTATTATAATAAACTTGCTGTTTAGTGTGAAATATGATTGTGGAGAACATATGAATATGATGATATGATGACTGAGGATCTTAATGTTCGAGTTTATGGATATGCCTCCTCCAGATGTGCCTGTCTTTTGGTCCTTTTTGTGCCATCTTTCTTCCATGAATTCCCAAGAATTAAATCTGTAGTGGCTGGCATGAATTGTTCATCAATAGTAACTGTTACAAACAATTAGTCAGGAAGCGTAAGGATGCTGTAGCCTGTGGGCTGATGTCATCTTTGTCTTTTCTTTATATTGGCTTGTGTGATAATGCCATTTTTATTTCTTTACCTTGGTTTCTCCATCTGCATTTTGGGAATCTACCTAAATATTGGCTTATTTCTAGCTAAGAATTTCGGCTGTAATTGCTTAAGAAATCCTAGAAGATGGTGAATGAAACTTTATGTCACTTCAAACAAGACCTTTTGACTCTCTTAACATCTCTATATTGTAAGAATCATATAAGAGATTTAAGTAGCCTTAGAACAAAGAACTTAGTCCTTTTTTTTCTCTCATTAGGGGAGAAAGTCTTGTAAAGAGGAACTTGGAGAAATACTTCATTGTACAACTCATTTTGGTGAAGAAATAGAACATCTTGGGAGCTTGTTCATCTAAGCTTTTCTCATTTTTCTTTACTTGTGATTCAATATGAGTTCATGCAATGAATCTATGAGCTTTATTGTCTTATTTCTTATTTTGAAATAAATTTTTAGATCTAGGGAGTAGATGAAACTTTTGGTACTATAATATGAGTTGAATGTAATTTATATTTGTTATGTCTTGTATTAACTTGTCTATTTATACATTCTTATTATTTGTTGGTATTAATCATCAATAGCAAGTTTTTAGTTATTGTTGCTCAATGAAAAATAGGTAATAATGATGGAACAAGATAAATGGAACTTAAGGAGTAGGCTCACGAGAGTAGAGGTACACTTAAGTGGATTTTTCTCACCATTTCATGTAGCTGAATGACTAGATTTAGTTCTTTACCATGAGAATAGAAAAGACTAAGCTAGTTTAATCCACTACATCATGAGAATGAGATTTGGCAGTATTGGAAATGAATCTCTAATTAAATAAGAATAGTAATAAGAGGTAAAATTCATTCACTTGTATTTTTGGACCATTAGTAGATTCTACACCCTAGAACTTGGATATTTAGTGAATTTTTTCCAAGAATTTCTCTCTATGAGTTTGTTGGTTAAAAGTTAGTAAGTGATTTGGTTGCTTTTTCTTGCTCTTTATTTGATATTAGTCTAAATAATAAGGTAAGTTAAGAATCTAGTACTTGTATATTAGCTCCTCGTGGGATCGACCCGAATTTATTCTAAACTATTAAGTTGGTCTACATACTTGCAGTAAAATGGGCATATTTTGGAATTAAACTTACACATATATCTAAATCCCGCCAGACACAGAACAATTCTTCATTGGTCTTATCAATTTCAAGACAAAGAAAGTGCTTTACCTCCCCGATCTCTTTCATTTGGAAACGTACAAACACCTATAATGATTAAATCATCAACATATACAAGGGCAATAGCTGACAACCACTGCTAGCTTCATGAACATATTAGAATTTGTAGGTGCTACAGAATATCTACTTTGAAGTAAGAACACAGCTATCTTGCCATACCATACTCTTTGTGTTTACTGTAATCCATACAAACTCTTCTTCAATTTGCACTTGTAACTTGATCGGATTGTGTCTTCAAACGTCTGTGGTTGATCCATATAGATTTTCCGATCTAGTTCTCTATGAAGGAAAGCATTTTTGACATTCACCTACCAAAGCTTCGATGACTTGCTGGTTGCAAGTAATGACGGGACTCGAAATGTGGTCAACTTTGCTACTGGGCTAAATATTTCATCATAATCTAGCCCATATTTCTAAGAAAATCCATGAGCAATGAGGTGTGCCTTGTACCTCTCAACTGAGCGATCTGAATGAGTCTTAACTTGGTAGACCCATTTGCAAGAGATAGGTTTGACATCCCTTTGTTTGAAAAAAGATCCCAAGTCTCATTTTGTCTAAGTGCTTGAATCTCTTTCTCCATGGCTGTCTTCCACTCAGTACTTTGAACTGCCTCCTAGTAAGTAGATGGTTCAACTACTCCATCATCTTTTGTCAAAGCTACATTAGTGTATCTGATATTTGGCTTCTTTTGTCTAGTTGATCTCTGTAGTTGTATAGATGAAGTATCATCACATTCAATCTCCTAGTATTGGCTTCGCCTTTCATCTTTTGGGGTTAGAGCATGTACTCCTATTCACCAAGAACTTTCACTTTTCTCAAGTGAACAAACATTGGTTATGTCGTCAGCTCCCTCTTGATATGCGTCTAGCTTATTGGTTTCAGGTTGATCATTACATCTCTCTTGTAGCTTCTCTTTTAACTCCCGCGAGTCTAGCAATAATGTTGCCTATGGTGACCACTAGGATGATGCCTCATCAAGTACCATATTTTGTGAGACATAACATTTTCCAGTTGTGGAATCATAACACTTCCAGCCTTTCTGTTGATTATCATAGCCCATGAATATACAACGAATGGCCATCTTATTGAACTTGGGTCGTAGATGATCTAGCACAAATGCTATACTCTTAAGTGAGTAATATTAGGTTTAGCATTCCACAGTTTGTCAACTGGAGAAATAAAGCTTAACTTAGGCTGAGGTAGCCTGTTGGTTACATGGACTAACATTTTCATGCACCCAGGCCAAAAATGTAGACATACACTTTTGGCATGTAGCATGCTCCTGTAGATCTCTGTAAGATGTCTATTCTTCCATTTAGCTACTCCATTTTGCTAAAACATACCAGGACAAGTCAGCTGCCACCTAATCTTGGAGTCCTGGAAGAATCTATTGAACTCATCTGATGTTTATTCACCTCTGTTGTCTACGGCGCAGGTACCTTATCCTTTGGCCTATTTCTTTCTTGACCTTCTTCTTGAATTCTTTGAACTTGTTTAAGGCTTATAACTTTTCTTTCATAAAGTCAACCCAAACACATCTAGAATAATCATCAATAAAGGTAATCATGTACCTTATACCACTGATTGGTGGTTCTTTCACTCTACCAAACACATCTAACTGAATTAGCTCCAAAAGCACCTTGGTTCTGAACTTTGACTCCTTGTATGTAAGTTAATGAGCTTTTCCATGTTAGCAACCTACACAAACAATGTCTTCTCGGACACCTAATTGATGAAGTCCTCTAAGCATCGACTTCATCATCATGATCTTCAACTTGTGGTAACTAACATGCCCCAATCTAGCATGCCATAGATCAACTGTCTCGTTCTTTCTCATGTTATCAACATAGGCTTCTTGAGTTGACATCATATACACTGATTCTAATTGTTTCCCTTGCATGGTTGGTGTACCTATAACTTTTAGATGTTGATATACGTTGACATTATCTAGTTCGAGCAATGCGTAGTTATCGAAAGCTGTCAATTGAGAAACTGATAGTAAATTCTTCTTCATTTCAGGTATATGGTACACAAGGTGCAACTCCACATGTTAAGTATTGTATTGAGGTAGTATCACCATATTATCAATGTGAGTAATTGGTAATATGAAATTATCAGCTGTCACTACCAATTGGATGCCTTTGTACTCTGTCAAATTTATTAGCTTTTCTTTGTCTCCAGTCATACGGTTAGAACAACTAGAGTCAATAATCCAATTATCAATATAGATGACAGGTTTAGTACTTATCGCATGTAGCAAAATGTGAGCTCTTGCACTGCAAATGATACCTAGACATCCCAATCTTTATCAGTCTCATTCATTTTTTTTGGAGGATGTAGCAGCATTATCTTCTGCTGGTAGGGATCTACAAAATTTTGTGTGGTGCCCTTTCTTACCGCAATTGTAGCATTCATCGTTTCACCATTTCTAGTTGACTGGAGACCATTGACATCATTTGTTTTGGCCATTTGCTCCTTGACTCTGGCCAACTCCCTCTCAATTGTTGCTCTTCCACTTATTCTGCTACCATGGGCTCCACTTACCATTTGAGTTATTTTATTTATTCGCTGGTCTCCTATTTTCGGCTTGAGATCCTCTCTTTTTGGTAAAGAGAGCTTTTTCTTCTTCTTTGATAGATACTTTAGACATAGAGCTTCCTCATTGGCAAGTAAACCTTTCAACTCATTTAAGGTTGGCTTCTTGACCCAACCATAGGCAGTAATGATAAGACCCCTGTATTCCAGTCTTAAGGCATGGATAGCATTCTCTGCATTTTGGTTTCTGTGATTGCATTTTAGGAATCGAATTTGGATATTTCATCACAAATTGATTTTAATTTGGAGAAATAATGAATTACTGTCATATTTTGTTGAGAAATAGACAATAATTCATTTTCGAGCTTTTGAAACTCCGCGTCATTCTTTGCAGAGAGTGCCCTGAGTGTATCCCATGCCTCTTTTGGAGTCCTAGCATCTTTGATCCGGTGTAATAAATCATCTTCCACAGCCATTGTTAAAGCACACAGATTTGCTAACTTTAACTTTCCACTTTTAAAGTAGCTCTGCCTTCGTTGGTAGTGATGTGTCATCTCCACCAACAACGAGCCACAAATCTTGTCCAAATAGGTAGAACTTCATACGAGTCCTCTAGGAACCATAGTTGTTGGAATTGATATTTAATTAATCAACATTTCCAACTGAGACAGCAACCTCTGTCATAGCTAATTTTTATGACTTACACTTTAATAATTGTGTGATATCAAAAAATTTCACAGTGTTTCACTGTGCTTCTGGAGAATCTCTTCTCATATTGGCCCTGTGCGTGTACCTGCAAAATAAAGATTTTATCAAGAGCCGGTCCATAATAGACTTGCTCTAATACCAAATTGTTGGATTGTGCTGGGTTCTAATAATAAATTAATGGATTAAATCCACTAATAATGGAGGCAAATGAACAATTTTATCATTACTATATAAAAAGTACCATGAATGTTGTTACTCTGGAGTGTGAGTGTAAGTATTCTGATGATCTTAGTTTTGTTATTCCAATTATACCCTTATTAATTAATGATTGGAGTTTAACATTATGCTCTTCTTGATTTATTATGATAATTAAAAATTCATTATATCATATCTATTGATTTAAAAGAAAATAATAGTTGATGATAAGCATTAGAGACTGAGCAGGATTTGATCTTAGTTTTTAATTTTATCCAAAATACCATTCTCCCTAATAATCCTAATAATTAGATTTATTGCATTTTAATAATAGCAATAATAGTAGTTAGGAAATTATTGTAACCTTAATTAAATTTGAATTATGAAGACAATAAACAAACTATAACATTCCAAACCAATGTGTCTTTTTGCATTCTATTTTCAGTTTTTTATTCAATTAAAAATTATTAATTAGTCATAGCTTAAATACATTTTTAAGTCTTCAAAAATATTACTATTGATACCAAAACAAGGCACTCTTACGACAATAGAATCTTTGTCATTTCTGCTTTAAGTTAGATTTTGTCCAAAAAATAAAAAATAAAAGATGACAAACGAAAAAAAAAAGAAAAATCCAATTATCTCTACCAATGAAATTTCAAATTTCAAAAAATGGAATAGTTAGATGGAAAAATTTATGTGTGGTGAATAATCATTTACACTCCATTGTTAATAGAATTAACATAAAAAATAATACAAAGAGTTCAATTTCAAAGAATATTCATCTCTTCTCTTTTTAAAAAACGGTGTATATAACTTCATATTGAAGAATTGCAAATTTAACTGACGTAACATGAAAACTAATACTGGAAAAGCATGCAACTAATATTTATGCAAACAATCATTTTTATTTTATTTTATTTTATTTTTTACCCTCCTATCTCTCCCAACACCCTTTTCATCCTCAACTATCACGCACGACATTCGAATTCTGAACTAGAAAGAATTCTAAGACACCTACCTTAACCACTAAGCCAACCCTAGTGATTGACAAACAATTAACTTTTGTTTAGCGTGCAAATTCAGATCATCCAACTTTAAAAGAAAAATAAAAAAAATTATTCATATATCTAATTAAAGATCATACAATTTTAGTGGTATTATCATAATCTGTGTGTCATGGAGAAAACAAACGAAGTAATTAGAAGTATCTATATTATACATACCATTCAAAATATTGATACTTTTGTCAAATCATTTCATATTTGGTCAAATCTTTATTTTTTAAATGTTAATTTTTCATCATCTTTCAGTCTTTAAAGCCATTATTTTAAATTGAAAGAGATTGAATATATCTTCATTTGTTAAAAATTCTCTAGAGATTTTATATGAATTTGTAGATATAACATGTTGTTAACTTTTTTTTTTTGTTTTTAAAATAATGGTTTTAAGGATAATTAATTAAAGAAGATAAAAAATTAAATAAAAAATAAACTATGCAAATATTAAATTTGTTAAAATAACTTTCATGAATAAATTTTAATGCATAAGAAACATATATTTTATGATATTATAATCACGTGCAAAGCACGTGACCTATTACTAGTTACATCCAAAGTGTATACAATAACAAAACTTACAAAATAAACTTGCACTAGACACTACTAATTAAATTAAGTCTCACTCTTGAAAATATTTGCTCTAATTTTATTAGAGCCTTATTCTAGAGATATCTGCTCAAACACTCACTAAACTACATTCTAAACACTAAAACACTCTAAGAGTTTCAACTCTAATTGAGCTCTTCTTATTTTTGTCTGAGAATGAGATGCCAAAAATGGCAAATGAGCTCCCGATTTATACTAGTGAATAGCCAACAAGCAGCTGCAATTTTCTTCTTCACATTTGATGTCCAATTGCCAGAACAAGGTGGTGGAAGTTTACATTATTGCTAGTTTGAAGACGACGGAAATGCTATAATCTTCTGGCCCTTGAAAGACTTCCCATATCCTTGGCCTTCTGGCGGAGAACAATTTTCTGTATTTTTCCTGTCGAAGTTTTTGGCAATTCCTCAAAAACAACAGTTCGTGGAGCCATGTAATGTGACAAACGATCACGGCAATACTTGATAATTTCGTCTGCACTTGCATTACAACCATCCTTCAAATGGACAAATGCACAAGGTGTTTCACCCCAATAATCATCTGGTCTTCCAACAACTGCAGCTTCCAGAACTGCTAGATGGCTATAAATCACTGATTCCACCTCAATCGAGCTAATATTCTCCCCTCCTGAGATGATAATGTCTTTGGATCAATCTTTTAATTCTACGTATCCATCAGGGTGTTTCACCCCCACGTCCCCACTTCGAAACCATCCACCTTTAAAGGCATCAGCTGTTGCTTTACTATCCTTAAAGTATCCATTCATGACGGTGTTGCCTCTGAACATCACGTCACCCCTTGTTTTTGTGTCCGGTGGTATGCTTTGCATTGTTTCCGGATCTTTGATATCGAGTTCTTCCATGCCAAGGTGGTGCAACCCTTGACGAGCCTTGATCTTGGCCTGTGCATCACGTGGTAGTGAATTCCACTCTGGTTTCCAAGTGCAAACTGTTCCAGCTCCTCCATCTTAAAAAGAACATGAGGAGGAGGGGAGGCAGCGCTTGCCATCACTATCACTTTTCCTGGAAGCAGTCTCCGATCAACAGACGGTGCATTTATTATCATATTTAAAACTGTAGGTGCACCACCCATATGTCTCACTTGGTGCTTAGCTATGCACTCAAAAATCCCTTTTGCAGTTACATTTCTTAGACAAACATTTGTGCCGCCCTGTGCTACAATGGCCCAAGTAAGGAACATCGGAGCAGTCGACAAATAAACAGGCATGGATGGCATTTCGTTTAAAAGAACAGCAGCCAGAGAATTGAGGTAGGCTCCTCTGTGATTGTAGACAACACCTTTGGGGGCTTGATGTTGTGCCTGAAGTGTAATTCAGAGAAATAGGATCCCACTCATCATGTGGCCTTATAACCTCAAAGTCTGGTCTTCCTGATGCCAAGAAAGATTCGTACTCTAAATTGTCTTTATTGAAATACATGTCACTAACCCTGGAAGATGAGTTCCCTTGGTCAGGAATCACAACTAATTTAGGCATCTTGCTGCTTGTCTTTAGTAGAATTCCTAATGCCCCTTTTGCAATATGAAGTAACTGATAATCAACAAAAATGACTTTTGCACCCGAGTGTTTTAGCAATGTCAACACCATTGCTGAATCATGACGTATATTGAGAGTACAGAGAACTGCTCCTGCCATTGGAACTCCAAAGTGCAGCTCGTAGATTGCAGGAATATTTGGGGCCAGGACAGCGACCTACACATGTAATCAGAAGCTTAAATGCAAGGTAAATCTGAAAGAGACAACTTAGTGGTTTAGACAAGAGAACACAGCCTTCTGTTGCATATGCACACAAACTGTTTGACTTGTAATCCATGGAATCCACGGAAATCGATGAAAGGAAAGAAAAGTTTTAATGTTCTGGGGTAGTTCATGTTTTCAGCTATACTTGACGAGTTCTAGTGTGCTCTGTGTATAACTTGACAATATTTTAGGGAGAAAATGTGGAGGAGTCCATTCAATAGGCCATGGACAAGTTGGATTCAAAGTTTCAAACTTTTCATAAAGCTCAAGCTAATTCAGTGTACCTATATCTTAGAAAACTCAACCTTATTTCAAATTTAATACTGCAGCATGTGACAAGACTTGATTTAGAAGATCTTCTAGGCACTGAATGTTCTATATCAAAACGCTTGCTTCTAGACTCATCATTAACCAGAAGAAGTATTATTTCCAGCTCATCAAGTCCTCTATCAGAAATATCATTAACCAGCAGATGGAATTTCTGATATACTTGTCAAGAAAGGAACCTCATCATTATACCATAACTGAACAGCAAGACATAGCAAGACTGCAGGATTAAAACAACTTTGCCAAAATATTCCAATGGTTAAAGCACACAGATATTAGCACCCGAGATGCTTCCAAGATGCTTTCAAACTTGAAAAAGCACCTGAAATTCCGATATCAAGATTAGACCTATTTGTAGCTTACGTTTCCACAAACTCTGTCACCGAGAAACCAAAATTGACCACAAATGTACAATTCCATAAGGTTAGCAATTTCGGGAATGGGGCAGCTGCAATTAGCACTAGGTGCAGTTGTTTTACATTTTTAATGATTTAGTGTACACTTACATAATTTTGATGTGTTTCATGATTTGATGCACATTTATATAACTTTTTATTGTGCTAGTAATAGTTCACACACTTTGCATGTAGTTATATTAACCTAAATATAACATCTCTTATATATAATCTTTTGTTGTGAAATTTGATTGTTTAAATGATAATAGAATATTTTCTATTTCTTTAATTAATTATTTTTACAAAGACTATCTAAATATGAACTCTTTGATCCATTGATTTTTGAATTTATTTTGAGCTTTTTGGTAATTATGGATTCAATTTTGATAAACAATTCTTAATATGGTTATGTTGTGTACTCAGAATATTTTTACCACTAAATCATAATAATATTTTTTAATATTGTACAAAAGATAACAAGAAATGCATGTATACATATCAAGTGTGAGCCTAGTAAATAAAATTCACAATTATTAGCAAAGTAAAGATTAAAACCGTAAAATCAATTTCTGGAAGTGTATCAGAGTAAATAAATTGGCTTGTTAGATTTTGTCAATCTAATTATTTTCACCAAACTCATCCCTTCTTTTACCTCTTGGAAAGTTCATTTACTAGCCAGAATCTAGATGCGCCTTTTCTCACTAAAAAATAAAACCCATAGTTAAGTTTCTAATGAAATCAACAAATTTAAAAAATGAAAAAAATTTGTATCAACATTTTGAATGCTATTTGCCATAACATTTTGAATGTTATTTTTTCCTTGGTAAGACAAACAAAATGCAATTGTACAATTAGAATGAATTAATTATTTAAAAATAAAATATATGAGCTGTGCTTATGCCCAACTTTGCATGAACATTTAATTATTCTACTTTATATCTTTTAGCTGAACTTTTCAATTTTTTCTTTTGTGAATTTGAATTGAATAATGTGAGGTGCATTATTGAATTTGGATTGTTTACATTTTTTTAAAGCATTATTGAGTTTAGTAAAGAATGTAAATGATTTATATTGCTTACTTATTTTAGACTGTCTATTTAATTGCCAATGGACATTCAATTGATAGAAATAATTGGATTCTTTTATTTGTTCTTTTCTTTTAGTATTTCTTCATATTGATAAAGCCCCATAATTATACATCTGTCTTGTGGTATTCATATCAAGATTCTCCAAATGAATATAGACTCTTTTCTTCTTATATATTTCTCTTTTGCTCCAAGAGCATTTTTTTTATACAAATATTTTTTACAATCTTAAAATTGTGGCTAATGCATTCATTCACACTATTTCGAATAAGAAATTATTTTGGCTAAGAAACTTTGACACACATAAGAATTGGAGATGAAGTGTAAGGGTCACTAAATAGTTTTAATAAGGAGTTTTTCATTTTAATTACCATTATTATTGAGATTTAGTTATTTGGAATGTTTCATATTTTTAATTACTACTACAATTAGAATGCAATAATTCTAGTTGAAAGATAGAGATAATATGGGCACAATAAAACTAAGATAAAAAAGTGCATGATGTTATAAAATACATCAAAGTTGTGTGAATGTACAACAAATCATTAACAAAAGTAAAACAACCGCACTAACCGCACCTATTGCTAACCATAGCTACTCCAAACCCTGCAATTTCATAGTGACATCTTAAATTGAAGCGGACCACTAAGCAATACAGACTGGAAGATATGCAGCTAATGCAACGCATATCAACTATTAGCAATGTAACAAGGAGATACTTGGATTCTTTGCTTATTATAGATGCTATAATGCTCCAAACACTCAAAAGCTTCTTGATAGATAGGTCAGTGTGTCTTTTACAGGTTTCAAGTAATGTGGTTGCATTAGGTGCCAAATCCCCCTTCCCCCACTATATCTATGTGACCTTTTGTTTCACAAAATAAAAGAGTTATACGAATTTAGAGTTGAGTAGCAGCAATAAATTGCATAATTATACCTCGAACTACTAGAAGTCACTGAATTGGTCCCTTGTGGGCTCATTGAAATGTCAATCCATGGCTATTTAACAACTTGTGGAATGATCCATTGAGACAAAAATGCCCAGACGACATTGTTCCAAACGAAGGTAGAAATCATTTTTAATATTCCAACTAGTTTCGCAATACTTAACAAAAAAAAAAAAAGTTTCTCAATAACCAGGCAATCAACAAATTAAAAAGGATAATTTCAAAAACCTGACAATTTCACTCAGTGCCCTCAAACTTTAAAAAATCTCATTTGGCTCTCTTGTTTTAAACTTTTTGTAACATTTGAAATCCATTTCAAAATATAATATTAAAAAAATCATTTTGAGAGAGAGAGAGAGTACAATTTCATTCCAAATTTGTCCTTTCTTGCTATTTTTTAATTGTCATAACACACCAAATTTGTTGCTTATCTTTTGTAAATTGATTGATGTAGTTCTTTAATGAAAATCTAAGAGTTGGTAACAAGATAAAAAAAAACTCTTTAATAATTTTTGTGTCATTTGTTCGGACAAAAAATGTTAAATTACTTAAAATTATGAATGATTTGCAGTACTCATACAAAAAACTTGCAATAATTCATAACCATGAGAATACCTTTTGCACTAACTTAAAATAATACAAACAATTTTATGTATAAATTTTAGCATGTTATATCTTTTTAGTTGTCAAACCATCGATTTGGACATCAAAATTAAAAAAATTTTAAAATGTGTAAATGATTTATAAATTAGCTCAAAACACATTGAAGTGTTGAAAACGTTATCTTTGTAACTTATAAAAACTTTGACAAACTTTCAAATATATTATATACTCTTGACATTTAAAAAAACACTATATTTTGTCACATCAGAATAAATCTTTATAAATTTTCATTTATTATTAATATTTTCATGTTTTGGTAATAAAACAACACAAGGATAAATTTGGATTGAAATTATATTTTCTCTCTCAAAATAAATTTTTTAATATTATATTTTAAAATGGGTTGTAAATGATACAATAAGTTTAAAGTAAGGGAGGTAAGTGAAAATTTTTAAAGTTTGAGAATGCCAATTGAAATTGTCAAAAACCTCTCCTAAGGTTTCTGAAACTATCCCATTAAAAATTATAAAGTTATCACATAAAAGATGCTTAATCACATAACCGGGAGCTCGCGGATTCAAGTTATCACAGAGGTAAGTGGGGAATTACTATTGATCCTCTGGATTAAAATTTTTTTTAAAATCACGGATGAAAATTACAATGCAAACAAAAATTCAATCGTGACAATTAACCAACAACAGAAAAATTTAAAGGGTTTTTAATTACAGTACAAGGAAGCATAGAAATTAAAGGAAAAAAAACGAATTGGACAAGAAGAAAATACAGGTAAATTGTGAATTACAAAGAAAACCCAGAATATCCAAGGATCAAATGGTAGCTAACAACATCATGACGAGAGATTCCGAGGGAGTGAAGGGCAGAAGCGAGTCTGGCTTATCTGTCACGAGTTTCTGCCCAAGTGAACTTTGAATCGCCATACACTACTGAAATCCTGTCTCTGTATACAATTGCTGAACACTCCAAGAAACTTATGGGCGTCAGAGGTATATAATTTGCAGAGCATTTGACAGTACCCTCCATTGATGATTCTATCCTTTGTCTGAAAATCTAAAAGAGTGCTTCTACTATCAACAGAAAAGAAGATAGGTTGTTTTCCCGTTGAAACTTGGGTGATGGAGAGGGGATTATATAGATGAAAACCAGAAATTTGTGCAGTAGTGTTGAAGTACACTATGAATGGACCCTTCCTTGCATGGGGTGTGAATATACCGAATGAAGCCTTTGCTGACTCACCACCTCTGTTGTTTGTTAGCATATTTTATTTTATTTTTTTTTCATTTAATGGGATCATATGATTCATTGTTTACTTTTGCATTGTTTTGGCCATTTGGGCATAGTGAGTGTGAGTCTTTTGATCATTTTGGATTTCGCTCTTAGGATTGTTTTGATCATTTGGGATTTTGCAAATAAGTCGAATTGAGTCCGGATAGTGATGTGTTTGAGTTCAACTTGAATTAAGATACTTGATTTCTGCCTTGTCAAGCTTTTAAAACTTGAAATTGAGATTTGAATTTGAACTAAATTGAATTTAATCAAGTTTAAGTGATATGAATTGGGATTGGTTCTGAAAGTGATGGCGCATTAAAAGGGTGTAAATGAGTCGAATTGAGTTTGGATAGTGTAGTGTTTGAATTCAACTTGAATTAAGATACTTGATTTCGGCCGTGTCAAGCTTTTAAAACTTGAGTTTGAGATTTGAATTTTAACTGAATTGAAGTTAATCGAGTTTAAGTGATATGAATTGCGATTGTTTTGTGATAGTGATGGTGCACTAAAAGGTAGGGGTGGCAATTTTCGACACGACCTGAAAACCCGACACGAAGCTAACACGAAATTAATGGGTTTGGGTTTCGATTTTGAGAAATCGGGTCAGAATCGGGTCAGACCCGACAAACCCGAAAAAAAACAGGTCAAAATCGGGTTAAAAACGGGTTGACCCGCTAACCCGATTTTAAAATAAAAATAAAAAAATAAATATTAAAAAAATATCTAAAAACTTAATAGTAAAATGTAAATAACTAAATATAATATACCAATTAATAATTATCACTTATCAGTTATCACTAGTTCTGTAGTTCACTACGCAGCCGGCCCTAAATCTTTCTTCCCCTTTTCAGCTTTTCTTCTCCTCCAAACGCAGCCGGCCCTAAACGCAGCTTTTCTCCTCAACAAATCTAAACGCAAAACCAAATTTAGATCTAGATCTGGCTGATGATGATACTGATGCACACAGGACTGATTTGATGACCTTTACCAAGTTTATATTGAACGAGCAGTCCAACTGTCCAACAGTCCAAGTACGCAAAATCTCGCGGGATCTTGCTCAATCACATTGTTTTGGGTTGCAAGTTCATTTGTTCTACTGTCAACAAGGTCCGTACTCCGTAGTTTACTTCTTTTCTTTTCTTGAGCATTTTCCCTCTTTTCTAAAAACAAAGGCAGACTTTGTAGCTAATTTTGACTTGCAATGGTACGATACAATTAATGGGCAACATGTTAATCACATTAATGTTGTTTGCAAAAGTCTAAAGGTTAGGTTTTCATCATTTGACTGCTTTTTTGAACATGTTTTTCCAAAAAAAAAAACATGTTTTGCATGGATCTGAGCCATTGCAATTTGCAAGTGTAGGGTTTTTGTGTTGATAATTTTTTTCATGAGACTTAGTGGCATGGCGTGGCTTGTTCTTAACATTTGTCTCACTACTGGAGCTGACTTTGGTTCTAAAAGACTTCAAGTCTTCAACGACTAAAAGTTTAGATATTAAATTAGCTAAAAAAAATAAAATTTTATACACTGAATCTATATTGGTAAAAAAAAAAGTTCAATTTTTTTTTTTTTACCTATGAGTGAATTTGGCCTATCCCAAAGCTGAACTTTTGTTTGGCCACTACTTAATCACTGGAGGCTATGATCTTCCGGGCAACTTGAAAAAAGAGTTCAAATCATTTACTGTACTGGGATGATTAATCGTTAATGTTAATTTCTGCATTAACCTGATGGTGAAAAGCCAAACCATCCATTTATTTTTTGCCATTTTGACACATGAAATTGTAATTGATGCCGATTTGATGCTTTCCAAGGTGCCAACTGATGCACATTAATTTTCCTTTTGTCAACTGGCATTAGATTGTCTTATACGTTAAGTGATGGGTTAACTGAGTTTAGATTCCTTTTGTGCTGCATTTTCATGGGAACATGAAATGAATGTATGAAACGGCTTCATTTCCTTGTTAGTAATCTATTGATTATCTTTTTTATAACAATGAGGAAAATAAAGACTTGTTAGTGGTGATTTGATACTGAACAGAGTGTGGGCATATAGGATTTGACAACATTATTTGAATTCTTTTTTATTGAGATGAAGTGCAATAAGATGACGATTATCTCAAATAGTGATGGTGCAACTGGGGAAGATTTTAGAATTCTCTTTAAGGTACCCAAATGATGAATTTTACCTGATTTTAGTTGTGAATTTTAGTTTTTGCTGGCTGCGGTAGGCAGCTGGAGATAGTTTAGATGTAAAGGGACTTAGGCAATTGCTTGTGAAATACTTTTACTATTTTTGTTTCATGTAATTTGCATAGCACTTGGCATGATTAACAGCTTTTAATCAGTTTGTTCATCTTGATGATTAACAGATGGATATAAGTATGACATATCCAAATTCAGTCACTATTGAAGAAGATAGTGATACCGGGAGCAGTAGTGATAGCATCAAGGAAACAGGCCATACCAACTAGCAAATTATGAATGTTGTTGTTGCTGATGATGAGGGCAGACCGGCAGAACATTGGTTGGCCTTGGAGCATCACTTTTGTTGTGATTTAATATCATGTGAATTGTAATATATTGACTCTAAACTTGTAACTTTGGTTGGTAGACTTTTGTTTAGATTGTTCTAGTTGAATTTGTTTGACTTGTGTGAAATTAGAGTTGTTAAATTTGGATAGATGATGTATTATATTATTTTTACTCTTATGATGTCTTAATTTAGTTTGGAGTTGATTCTATTAAAAATCACAGCAGTCAGCAGGTTAATCAGTGAATGGGAATTAAATTTCAGGTTGGCGGGTCAACCCGTTTGACCCGCCAACCTGAAACTTTCAGGTTCAGGTCAGCATACCTGACCCGTCACGGGTTGACGGGTCGGGTTCGAGTCAATATATTTTTTGGCGGGTCGGGTCAGGACCCGACCTGCCAACCTGATTTGGACCTGATTGCCACCCCTACTAAAAGGGTGCAAATGAGTCGAATCGAGTCTGAGTAGTGTAGTATTTGAGATCAATTTGAATTAAGATACTTGATTTCGATCCTGTCAAGCTTTGAAAACTTGAGTTTGAGATTTGAATTTTAAAACCCCTAGTTAAGTTTGAGATTTGAATTTTAAGATACTAGCTAGAATCTAGATGCGTCCTTTTTTCACATAAAAATAAAACCCCTAGTTAAGTTTCTAATGAAATCAACAAATTTAAAAAATGAAAAAAATTTGTATCAACATTTTGAATGCTATTTGCCATAACATTTTGAATACTTTTTTTTTCCTTGGTAAGACAAACAAAATGCAATTGTACAATTAGAATAAATTAATTATTTAAGAGTAAAATTTATGAGCTGTGCTTATGCCCAACTTCGCATGAACATTTAATTATTCTACTTTATATCTTTTGGTTGAACTTTTCAATTTTTTCTTTTGTGAATTTGAATTGAATAATGTGAGGGGCATTATTGAATTTGGATTGTTTACATTTTTTTTAAGTATTATTGAGGTTAGTAAAGAATGCAAATGATTTATACTGCTTAATTATCTTAGACTGTCTATTTAATTGCCAATGGACATTCAATTGATAGAAATAATTGGATTCTTTTATTTGTTCTTTTCTTTTAGTATTTCTTCATACTGATAAAAAGCCCATAATTTTATTGGGTTTAATGTCAGCTTGCCGTTTTATGGGTATAATGTTGAGATTTTGGTTAATAGTTGGACCATTTGCTGATAAATGTGAGCAACCATTCCTTTTTTTTAGATTAGTTTGCTTTAAATTGGAGGAGTTGGTGGTTGGAAAGCTAACCGGGGTGATTTTTCTTGGATCATGACCTGTGATGCTTGATATATGTTTTTCTTGGTATTTTGGCAATGCGGTAGTTGGAGCAATAGCCATTGTCAAACTTTGGTGTTCAATTGCTGTTCCTATGCTTGAGGGCAAGCATGGTTTAGGTGTTGGGGGAATTGATAGGGTGTTAATTGTTAGTAATTTTATTGTTAATTTTCTTCTTTGTCCTTGCCAAATATTACTTAATTATTAATATCTACTTATATTTGGTATTTAGATTCAATACCAGGGAGTGGAGCAGAAAAGTACACAAAAGGATGGACCTTATGGACAAAATTGCTCCACACGTGGGAGACTTCTTAAAGCTCCATCAACCTGGCCCACAAGGAGAAGAAGAAAACGATTTCCTTTTCTTTGTGCTGATAAGGAGTGCATTGTATTAGCTAGTTGACTAGCAATAGGAAACGAGAAAACAGGACATTAGGTAGCACTTGACTTTTTGTCTTATCTTTTCCTTATCATCGAAGAGACCAACTAGGGAGATAAGTAGTCATTTGTTTAGGATAGGGAACTTCGTTTTTTGGGCTCCTTCATTTAATTTATTTTTTTCTTTTTCCGTCTCTTGGAGGAGAACGACAGGGAACATAGCTTGTTTTTGGATAATAATGACAGGTGTCGAATCTGTGCAATAATAATTACCTATTCAAGAAAAATATAATTTTTGTGTATAGCGGTGAGTAGGGTCGAATCCACAGGGAACGGGTAGGAAATTGTTTCTTTCAAAGTCAATAGAACAAAATTGGGGGATTTTTAATGGGAGGCAAATAAAAAAAATAAGAATAAAAATAAAGCAAACTAAATTCAAAACTAATTCGCAAAGCACAAGTTACTAAAAGTAGCAATTAATAAAATTCTACCCAAAGGATCAACTGCTCAGGCACGGTCCAATTAAATGATCATCGATGCAAAGATATTTTATTCATCTGTCACTAGGTTGGTTATATCTATCAACAAGTTCTGACAACTAGTTCTTCCTTACTTTTTCGACAGTCAAGGTACGACCATTGACTGCTTCTCTAACCAGAAAACAACTCTAAGTACGACTGTAGGAATTTAATTATCCAGTTGCATTAAAGTTAGAAGAACCCAACCCTGACCAATAAACACTCTAAGAGGGTTTATTTAAATCAGATCTTACGTTTTCCCAACATAAAGCCAATTATGGTGGTTGCCACTAGGGATCAACTAAACGAACAATTACGGATTCAATTTAGTTAATGTGACAGTAGGCTATTAGATTAAATCAAATACCCGGCCGTTGATATTCAATTAATAAAATACCCATGAACGATTAATTCAGAAAACGCATGAATAGCAACAAATTGAAAGAAATAATGAAGATTCGATTAGATCTCACAGATATTATGGACCGCGCTCTCGCGTCAACCTTTGGGTAGAGGAGAAAATTAGCCACTTCTCATCGTGTCAATCCCGCGTGATTTAATTGAATTCATTCAATTTATTGCCGAAGAGTTGGGAAAGGTGAATTAATTGAAGAAACAACAGAGAGGGCCCTGACTTCGCCTTTGTTTTGGAGCCGCAATTACAAAGCAAAAGGCTAACCAGAATTGTCCAGAGCAAGGGTTAAAAGTCAAAAGGAAAAAGACGTCTGGCCTATTCTAATTGCTACTGAAGAGAAGAAAAAAGGGAAAAAAATGTTTGACGGTACAAAAAACAAAAGAAAGCAAACGTCTGATACTATATTTGAAAACCAAAGCCAATGTCCCTATTATACGTGAATCTGACCTTTTTATATCTTCAGTAGCTGCGCAGGAGAAGTCTACCCAAAAGTCCTCTTCAAAGCTTTTCTCTTTTGGGGTTTTAATCCCATGTGTCTGGTTCACGTGGACCACTTTTGGTTTCCTGATGTTCCACTTGTTTTGCCACTCTCACGGGTCCGGCTTTTAGGTGTAGCTCTTTAGTTTCTGGCGTGGGCACGCCATGAAATAGAGAGTCTTCTGGAAATTTACCTCGTGAAAGTATTTTTTACACCAATCACCTACAATTCATACAAATATGAAATATGAGCAACATCTCAATACTTTGCACGGTAAGTAGCCAAAATTAGGACAAAATAACAGTATAAAATGTGCTAAATAATTGCTCTATCAAATAACTTCTGCAATTTCGCATGGGATTTTCCCCATGTAGATGAACTAAGTTTCTCATCTTGTCGAAGGCCAACTTGAAGGGGCGGTTTCAAATATCTATAAGATCGAATTAATTTTATTTATTTCTTTTATTCATTGGTATTTGTACATTTCCTAATTTAATTGCTTATGCTTGTTATGTTATTTGAATGTCAAGGGCCCGATATTCGAATTAACCGAATGATCTAATGCCAAATTAATTGATTGAATCCGTAATTGTTCAATTGATTAATACCAGTGGCGACTAGCGTAATTGGTTTCATGTTAGGGAAACGTATGATCTAATTTAAATAAACCCTCGTAGCGTGTTTGTTAGTTAGGATTGCGCTTTTCTAATTCTTCATGCAATCGAGAAATTAAATCCTACGATCGTACCTAGGGTTATTTCTTGGTTAGATAAATAGTTAACGGTCGTACCTTGACTATCGAAAAAGTAAGAAAAGGTTGGTTGTTCATCGCTTGTATGACAACTATAACCAATTTAGTAAAGAGTAATTGAATTATTTTTGCATTGATGATCAGTTGAATGGACCATGTCTGAAAAGTTGCACTTTTGGCTAGAGTCGTATTGATTATTGATTAATTCTTATTTATTTCTTTTAGTTGTTTTATTAGTTAGTTAATTAGTAATTTTATATTTTCCAAAAATCCCCCATGCACTGAACTCTAGAAGAAACGAATTATCTTCAGTCCCTGTGGATTCGACCCTACTCACCGCTATATACAAAATTTATACTTTTCTTGAGTAGGTAATTATTATTGCACAGGCTCGACACCCTGTCAATTTTTGGCGCCGCTGCCGGGGACTGGTGTCAGATTAATTTGTTTCTTTTTGAGTTCATCTTGTTTTCATCTTTTTTATTTATTTTTCTCTTATTTTTTTTATAGTTTATGGCTGCTAACATTCCATATTTTGATGATAGACTGGACTTTATTTCTGAATGGGGTTATGAGACTCGTGTTTTTCCTAATGATCCATGGGCTAATGCAAATTGTGGAACTTATGTTGCTTCAGGTTATTCAACCGACACATGCTTCACATTTCAAGATAATCTAAGTGCTCCAATTGATACTTTTGGAGATTTTTCACCTCGATTTCAAACGTGGTATGACTCTTACTCAAACAGGTATGATCAAGGATGGTGAGATAATTTCAATTTTAATTATGCGATCGGGTCAATGGATTTTCAACAGCAAGAGTCTCAACAACCATCATCCGTGTCGGGTACGTCTCTTGAAGAAATGATTGAATTACTAGCTGCTAATACATATCGATTTCAACAGGAGACACAAGCGATGGCGGATCAAGTGTAACTATTGACATCCGGGATGGCGGATCAAGTGCATCTATTGGCATCCAGGATAACGCAATTAGCTTCTTACATGAGTGAAAAATTGCCCTCACAAACCAACATCGACCTTGAAGAAGATGAGAGTGCAATTATCCTGACAAGTGACATGGAGCTACAAGATTCTCAAGAAAATGGATCTAAAAATGCAATTGAAAAGGAAGTTAAAGTTCAAGAAATGAGACCCCAACATCAACTCGTTCAAGTGAATGAATCTAGTGAACAATCTCCAAATGTGGTGACATCTCCTTCATTCCTTAATCAATATTCTCCTGACTCTTATTCTTCAATTCCTGTTAATGACTTTATTATATCAGAAAATTTTGAATTTCATGACAGGAATAAGTTAAGAGCAGTAATGGCAAAATATGTTGAACCAATAAATGCGCGTGATAGAGGAGTGAATG